ATGCGTGCGTGTCATCACAGCAAACTGCAGCAAGAAGTACCACAAAGGTGGCCTTGAGTAGTTGGTAGATATTTATACATCTGTCAGTCAATCGGAAATATGACAACTTACCAATGTCGAGAATGCAAGCTTTATAATCTAACAGATGTCACTGGTTATTCTACCAAAAATGCATTTTGAAATGTAATGTAATGTATTGTAATGTATGTTAATTTTTCATCAAAATAATGAAAAATGATGTCATCTACTGTATTTTATTTTACCAGGAAGTCTAACTGAGATGAGCTGCTCAGAGGAGAGACTTGGACATGATTGCACCCATTAGAGCTCTTTTCTCTAGAAAAATAACCACATGCCACATGTTACTTACGACATTTAATTCGTTTTACATTGCGCTTCAAAAAAAACAAAAAATCCAGTTATAAAACTGTATTTTGTATTACACCAACTTCCTGTAGCTTTTGATGTTGGCAGCACTGAACTATACAAGCTATAGAATGAAGGCTGACCTGAAGATCCTATCTTTGATAAGCCAACATGGGCTCTTAATTAACATTAAAAAAAGTTCACCCATCCCTTCTCTATTTTTTTAAATGCTTAACCAACCAGAGTTGTGACACTGGGGACAGAGAAGCGGTTGCCTGTCCATCACACAGCTAACAAACACACAGAGATTTGCATGATGACATCCACCCTTATGGCCAATTTAGAAAGTCCGGCTAACCTAACCTGCATATCATTGGACTGTTGAAGCCGAAGTACCTGAAGGAACCCTAAAAGCAGAGGGACCACATGGAAAGTCCACAGCAAGCAGATATATTAGTTTCTTCTTCAACCCACACCTAACTGTGTCCATGAAAACAAATCCTGCAGTGACCTTCATTCAGGGACTCGATCTTTTAAAAGGATACAGCTGTTCTTCTTCAGAGAACGCTGCTAATACAGAAATGTACAGCTACTGACATTGTGTACCAACATAAGGCACAGATTTATTATATTTTATAGTCCTAGAATAGCACATGGACTTTAGATGTGGGCATACTGTCTGAAGTGACACAGATCGTATGGCAGGATTTGCACTTGAAAAGTCAAAGCAAACTGCGTGTAAATCTCTAAAGACTCTCAAGACTCTTAGGCACAGTGTGTAACAGGATACACTTTCCTTATCTATCATAGTAAAGAAATGCTTTTCAGTGTCTGGGGAGATGGTGTATGAATGGATACAGAATGAAAAGAGCATTACCACCTGTAATAAAACGAGAGATCTCCAAAGACTGATCACAACAGATTTTTTTTTTCTTCATTTGCTTTCATTTCATTCAATAGCTATTAGGTTTAGAGACATTATTTTAAAATAGACATGTTTCACTGTTTAGAATGAACTGGTCTGCATCCCCGAAGGGAAGAAGACAGATCACGTTCCTATTACAGAACACATGATGATGCAGCACCTGGAAACACTAAAGAATACCTATAGTCATTTTACGGTTCATTTTTTATTTGGAAAAATGATCCTTAAAATAACAAATTCATGAGGTATCCTTGTTCCAGTTCAACCCGTGAGTACCCGTGTCTTCAGGGGAATATGTTATAATTCAGCACATTTCAATGTATTGTAATGGCTGAAAGGGTGACTGCTGAATTGAAAGTAATTTCCGTAAAAGTCTGGTATGAAATTAAAAGAAAGAATGACTGCAGGGGTATATTCTTTGACAGAGGTTTTTCCAATTCAATCCAAGGACACACAAGCTGTTTGGTTTCCTTAAGATAAAGTGGGCAGGAGGAAAGGAAAGGAGATACATCAGAACTATTCTATAGCGATGGATGCTACCTTAACGATAAAATACTTAGAAGTCACGGTATGACAGGTACACACTGATAACTTTATGATTTATAAAATTTGCACTACAGTCAAATCTAACAAATTAAATTATCTGTCCAGGTACTCTGACATGCATGTGTCAGGTTAACGAACAGCTGGCCATAGGTGTGAATGTGAGCGTGAATGGTTTCTGTCTAAGCTCTGCATTAGACGGGCGACCTGTCCGAGGTGTTTTGGCACCCCCGCCCCTGATCCTGAATAAAGTGAAAACACCCAAAAAAGAGAAAATATCTATTGAGCAACAGTTTCTGAAATACCAGACTTGCTGATGCCAGGTGTCAGAGGAGAATGGCTAGACTGCTTTATGTTGATAGGAACGGAAAAGTAACTCAAATAACCGTTCGACATGTCAAACCTTGAAGCAGATGAAGAACTGAGGCAGTTCTGAATGCAAAAAAAAAGTCCAACCTGCTATTAGCAAATTGTTCCTAATGAAGTGGCCGGTGGGTTCCTATTACATATTTTATTCTCTTTTTGTTTGGAACAAAACCCAATTCTTTTTCTTCCTTTCACTTCATAGCTCTTCTTAGTTAAATTATGCATTTACTATTCAGAGCATAAATTCGCTTAACAGGCAACACTGTTACTATCAGTGGCAAAGGCCAGTGTTTGTGTGTTTATGTGGAATATTCACACTTTTAGTCCTCAGCCTTCTTATTCAACTAAAAATTGAACACCCGCTGCTTTTGTAGTTCACTAATCAAAATGTACCTGTGATGAAACAGTAAGTAGCATACGAGCGATTATTTTGCAATATAGATTTTTATTGGATGTCGGTTTAAATTACACCTCCCTGCTGGAGTCTCTCCTTTCCTCACTTCTCGTAACCCTGAGCGGTACTGCGGCATAGAGGGTGTGGGAGCAGCTGAGTAGACATTCCTGCGGGAGACACATCATTCTCCCCTCAGCAAGCAAACACTTCCAGCCTCACAGGCCCACAGAAAGATACACATATGACAACCATTACCTTAAGTGGCTACTTGTCAGGCAAAATTACACCAGCACTGTGCACTTCAGAAATTATTACTTTTCTTGCTTAGTAAATCATTAGCTACTGGTGCAATCCGATATCAGGAGGCCTACTCTGAGAGTTTTAATCCCGAGGAAAGTCACATGCAATGCTGCTTTGGTTTTACCTGCTCCAAAAGTCCACAAACAGACAAGAAAATCTATTTGCTCTCTCTGTGTATGATTCCCCTCCGCCAGTCCTGAAAGCCATTTCTTCTGATTTGATTAATTTATTTAATTTGCTTCTGTGAAAATACTTTCATTACCCCTCGGTGGCAAGCAATAATTGCACCCCAAAAATAGAGGCCAATTAAAACGGTTCTGTGGAGGTCACATGAAGGGAAGGACACACAAGAAATGCACACGTTCTCTCTTCCTCTGACAGGCTCTCACAATAATTTCAGCCAAACTTCCAGCAAGTCTGAAAGCTCCTTCTTCAACACGGCAGCCTCTTAACTCATCTGCGCTAGATGTGACTCACCGTCTGATTAAACAGTATATGTTTAGATGATGGGAGAGGAGAGGAAAACAACCCCAGTTTCCATTAGCCTAACGGGATAGAGTCTGGCTCTGACAAGAAGCCTGCCTGGAGAGAAAGCCCAGTAGAGGAGCTAATCCATTCAGCAGAAGCTAATGGGAGGGGAAGAGGGGTCCATTGTGATTTGAGGGATAGGTTAGTGCTGGCAGGCTGCTCATCACGGGTGATTATAGGAGGTGGAGCAGCGGGAGTGGACTCAGTGGGAGACTGAGAGGCGTGATTCGGATTCACCAGGCTAGTATAATAGAAGCAGTAATAGGAAGAGATACTGGTGTTGGAAATAAAGGGGAATGCACTAAATTCAGAGACAAACTGTGCAGAATATGGAGCAAATACAGAGTTAGTAATACAAAGAAGTGGAGATGATCGAATAAAAATAGGGAGAGACAGCTCCATCACTGCTAAGTTGCTTTTAATTGAGCGGTTCAGGTGAAATCCTGGATATTGACTTTGCGAGGTGCTTTCTGATGCACTGTATAGCAAAGATGAAATCATTCTGACAGTTCCCCACCAAACATCAACAGCTCAAGTCATATCCTTATCGAGTTTTGACAATATATTTGACATAAACTACAATACACTCTCCAAGTGTGTATTGCAGGGGTTTTTTCCCCAGTTTGCCACAAGCCTAAAGAGAAACAGTGAAGATGGGAAAGATGCGTCAGTCACGGTGCCTTGAAACTACTTGACAGGAGGTGGAAGTGCAATGATCTAGCCGATACTATAATAGGATTTCCTTCAGGTGGAATTTTGACAAAAACGTGTAAGTAGTTGTGTCACGTAATAGCTGTGTTGCAAAAATGTTGCCTTGATGTCACAGTCAGACTTAAGCAGCTCTTGCTTTCTGCATCATGTCTTCTGGGGTTTCATTACCCTTTTTTTCTGATTTTCTTTGCCACATCCTTTGGGGAAAACTGTTAAAAAATGAGCCCAAACTTTAGATCCAGTACAGAATGTTTCTCATTATTTAGAAACAATTGCGTGGTGCTTTTTCAGCAGGACGACAAACCGAGAACAAAGGAGGACCATACACAAATGAAGTCATAAACATGCACCACAGCTCTCCTAGTGCACAGACGCCACTTCAGCTCTTTTTCTCCCCCTCTGTGCTTCTTCTTCAGGTCTGTGCTGCCCGCAAGGAAACCACTGTACTGGCTTTTTACCAACTCAAGTTCAAAGGGACGCTTGAATCTCATGTTAGCAAAACCTCCTTTTCACTGCTACTATCTCCAGAATCTGTGAAGATACACAAGTCCATCGCTGAGATGCGTTTTCTTGGCAACCGAGAGGTTTTGTTTGGAGAGAAATACAAAGATGAGAGAGACGATAAGTGAATAATGGCCTGAAGAGAGGGATGAAAGGAGGGGGAGTATACTCACAGGCGATGCGGACATGAGCTTTGCGGCTCTTGGTGGTCCCAGCGGAGCTCCAGGCCACACACTGACACCAGAAGTCCTCTGGCCCAAACAATTCCTCCACTTGCTGCCGAGTGATCTCTATGCTGGCTTCCCTCACGACCAAACCTGGGAAAAAGAACATAGGATTTTTTTTTTAAATCACGGAGACGTGAAACAGTAAACAGAACAAAAAACAAAGAATTGACCGTGCAGGAAAATGACATTAATTTGAACACCAGAAAATATAAACAGATGGACAGCTGAAATGGTTAAAATAATGTGACATCATACACACCAAACTCAAACAACACATATTTGTGTCAGTCTGTCCTGATTCTAGAGCCAGAGCACTGAGCTGCTTGGGTCTGGGCCTTGTGGGGGAGGATTCTCAGCGTCATGGCTAACACAATCCTGTTTGCTAACTCCTCTGATTACTGCTCATCTGGGTGCCAGGGCCCAAACAAACAAATCATCCCCAAAACAAATGCCTCTACCCACAGCTGCCCCTCTAGAGCAGATTATGCTGCTACCATAGCGTGTGCACATCTCTGCATGTCTGTAAATGCCTATTTGTTGGAGCATTTGAGTTATGTACATGCAACCTAGGAACAGTCTATGCGTGCGTTATGTGACACACCGACGTTTATTGAAGTACAGTGCTTATTTCATTTCTCAATCCATAATATTTTTTCTGAGAGGATGGGACATTTAAGAGGACAATGATGCATTCAAAAAGGCTAGGTTGAGAAAAAAATGCATTTGCAACAGACTGCGTTTTGCAGACATCATGAGAATCTCAACAAGTATCCGAACTAAACCGAGAGCACGCTTGTAACTAATAGAAGTAAAGTATTCCATATGTATGGAGATGGTCCCTATAACTGCATTTGGATGCTGCTGGGCACTGGAACATCTCGCATTTTGCATGGATCCACATCCAGCAGTCCTGCAACATTTGTGCAGATTTTTTAAAAAGAACTTTCACGCTGTGAATATCCCATGCCACCTCATCCCAACAGTGCTGCCCCATTAGGCTTAGATAAGGGGTTTGTGTATCCTACTGGAAAGAAATTAAGCTAATGTCATTTTCCTGGAACTCTCATGCTCATGTACCTGGTCAGCAATGATGTGAAAGTGGGACTATCAAATCGCTGCCAGTTGTTCTTGAATCGCCTTTTTGTATGCATTCCCCGCACCATTACACCATCAGCAGCTGCCTGTGCCATCAGCACCATGTTGTTTGTATACCAAATTCAGGCCCTGACATCAGTTCCAAAACACTGCCTGTCATTTGCTTCCCCCCCCCAGTCATTAGTCATCGAGTTTTAGTGCCTTGCCCTGTAGAAAGGTTTGTTGTTAGCTGAGACGATGACTAACTGTTTGTTGAATTGGTAACAAATCTATTTTAACTCAGCACTTAAAGAGTGGTGCAAACTTTTTTTTCTATTTTTTTCTGCAAAAATGTTCAAATCTTTGGGTCATTTTAATCCTATTGTTGAACATTAGGTTGTCTGCAACAACCCCCTATCATTGTCTGTTAATTCAAAAAGAATAGTGTGGCTGGGGTCTCTTGACAGGGCACAAATTAAAAGGGCTGTACAGAGTGCACGCTAATTTAAACAGTGGGCTGTGGTGGAATTAATGATTAATGCCTGTGTTGACAAAAGACTACAACTGTAAGGGAGTTTTTTTCTTCTTCAAAGTTAGAGTTACTGTATTAAATGAATAAATTACCTATTTGTAACTTTAAGGGTAGGTATTGATAGGTACCAGTTTTGAATTTTGCACTTTTTGTTTTTCTACTGTACCATTCTCCAAGTAATAGCTGTCAAAATCATTTTACATCTTGGGTCGGACCAGTGAAGCGGCCCTTTCTTTCAATGTAAAGAAGTTTAACAACATCCCGAATGAATCTCTGAGGTATCTTATTATGAGATAAAGAAGAGCAATTTCAACAGTACGTCTCAGGTTTCATACAAGATGAAGAAATGCTGCTCAAGTAAATGAAAAATCTGCCAGCACGACTCTTTGGACTTAAATTGTGAGAATTAATGTACAAAATTACTGAATATTTTCTGGTATCTCATTGCTCAGAGTGTTTTGTAATAATAAAACAGACCTTTTTTTTTTTTTTAAAACCAAAGACCCATATAAAAAAATAAATAAGTATTTCTATAGCAGATGGTGAAAAAAATGTTCCTGTCATGTCACTGTTTATCTCTATTACTTTGGTGTAGTGCGAATGGCCAGTGGGGGAGGTCTTATGAAAACAGTAAAAAATGTATGCCCTCCTTCACTTTTTCCACAGCCTGACTGGGCCGATTCTGGCCCATGGGCATTATGTTCGACACCCCTGCTCTAGATAATCAAGTTTGGAAATTTCCACAAAAGAAATAAAAAATAAATCACAAAGCAACAAAGCTTACAGTGTTTGGGCTAAGCCAATAAAGCAGAAAATATCATTATGTAGGTTTTCCTGTATGTGTGCCTTATAGCAACCGCTGACAGTAGTACTGACCATTCTGTCAAATCATCATTGCTTTGTATTAGATGCAACTGTGTTGTGTTGACAGATCTCCAAAAACAGCTCTGTGGCATCTAAATCCAACATCAGCCAGAGCTCTAAACTGTATATCTGGGTGTTTCTAACTTAGCCATTATGCTAAAAATATCTTTTTAACTAAGCTTACCTAAGAGACACCATGTGCTGTCAATGTGGCATCGCTATTATGTACAGTCTCAAAACTGTGTCATAGATCATTGACTCATCTGTGCCGCAATGTGCATTTAATCAGTAATCTAATCTCTGACTGACATCCAGCTCTTTGCAGCGTGAATCACTGCCAACTGATTCAGATGATAAGCTAATTTGCAACAATTTGTTAATTTAGTTTGTGATGTGAAAACCGGAGAAGAAAAGAAAGAAGTAATCTGAATCAAGGCTCCTGGCTCAAATCAAACGTTGTGCCGGCTCAGTGTTACTTTAGTTTTACATATGTGCAGTCATCTCTGCCACTCATGTTAATGTAACAGCAGACTTTCTATCACTAATTATTATGTGAGAGATTATTGCCTGATAACTGCCTGAGACAGCATCTCAGGAGTGAATACTAATCCTGCTCTGCTGGTATGCCCATTAAAAACCATTATCTCTGTGTAAATCCTGAACCTTTTTCCTTAGATTATTAGAGCACAGCTCTGATTGGTTTATATGGTAGCTGTGTGACATTCTGGTTGAATGGAAAATGCAAAAGAAATTGGATGGTTAAAAAACGAACATGCCAATTTATTTCAGGTTCAGTGAATTCACACAGCCTCCTTGTTCTGGCACAGAGCAAGCATAGTGACATCCCACACACTAGCTTACCTCTCATGTAAAATTTACACAGTGTGCCAGCAGGCAGGGGTACAGCCACGTCTATTGTGTCACCGTTTGCTTCGGCATGTATGGCTTTCAACACATATGTGCGAGTGCCAAAGAGTGCGCCTCTGGTCGTCGCTACTTGATGCCAGTATGCTCGCCTGAGAGGATGTTTTGTTAGTTTGAGAATGTGATGATGGATGTGCTTTTGTGGGAGCATCACATCCAGTCTAGCAGAGGGAAAATCAATAGTGGAAACAGTAAGTAGATTCTCATAATTCTCAGAAGGTCTAAAACGTGCGCAAGAATCAGTCATTTGTTTTTTTTCTGTCAGCGCTGCAGACATAAAGGGCTCTACAGTGATCAATTATCCGCCTGATGTTGTTAGCATACTCTATACCATTAGAGAATCGAAAATGATGACGATGCCTGCAGTGGTTATCAGTCTCCTTTAAGAGTCATTCATGACTTCACGGGGATTACTAAACCTGGATTAAACTCTTCCTTTCCTGTGTTGCACTTCAAACACATCTGAAGAATCACCCTGATGGAAAAATCAGAGCTCTGAAACGAGCCTGCTGACCTCATCCAGTGACTTCATATGTGCTCAGCTAGAATTTCTAAGTGTGCTTTATATCAATACAATGATAACAAAATAAAACTGGCCATTCAATTTAAAATCAAGGTGTGTAAACTGTGTCAGGGCCAGTGAGGCAGGGCTACTATCTTCCTAAGCCATTAATAACTGGCTAAATAAGGGGCTTCATTTTGAGAGGATTCATTATTTATGTGGTTTTTAACATGAGCTAGCCTAGCAGCCTATTGTTAGCACCAGGAAACATTATTGATCAAACCAGTCAAGCAAAAACAGGCGGCATTGGTCACTGAAGGAGAGATGGAGGAGGTGGGAGGCATAAGTGCCCTGATATTCTTGTGAGATGAAGAGTGCATCTGTTAGATCTTTTAACGTATATCTCAGAGAAAGTGACAGGCTGTCTCCGGTGTACGTTACACTACCTGCACCTACATATAATTAATTTGCTACTCATTTGCACAGATCAATGCACTCTCCACTCACAGAGACTATGAAGTGCCTTTAAAAATGCTACAATGTTTTTGGGCCACGTTAAGCACCTACAAAATCTTCAAAAAGGTTTTGCATTCAATACCCAGTTATTTTGCTTGGGTGTTGTATCTGTCCAGGCTTACTTGCATGTCCTTTCTAGTTCTTTTTATACCCAACAAACAAAATGAAGTCCTATAGAAGCAGTAAAGGTGCACTTACTTTGTCACAGGACTGGACAAAATGCTCTGTTCTGTAAAAATTTTCTTTTCACATGATTGTAGATGCGCACATGAGCCAATTTCCTTTGACCTCATATTCAAGGTGGGTAGATTACAATCTAGTATTGCATTTATTCAACCATTTCCTAGTTGACATCCCTCGTTTGATCATTTTACACAATACCACAGGAAAGTTTTAACATAATCAGCAGAACATCACTCAGATATATTTATTGAAGCCATAATGCGCAATGATATTTTAGTAATGTAAGCTGGGTAGCTAATGCCTTGTTCTTACCTTTAAAATTATGAATGTTTTCTCAGTGGCTTTGGTTCTAAATGACCTGCCTTTCTTTGTGAAACACCTGCACATAAAGTGAAGCTCACAGTGATAAAAACATTTCAGACAGTACTTTTTAATTCGCTTCTTCTAATGCACCTTTATCTACCAGATGGTCAGGAGAGTCTGTCGTCACATACGGCAGACAACTGAATAACCAATCACAGCAAAGCAGCCCTCCTGCTGATCCAATCTAGCACCAACCAATTTGAAATGGTTTATGGCCACATGTCAGAATGACGCTTCCTTCTGGAAACTGTGTAAATATAAGTTCCCTTTTTCTTTTGGACTATTTTTCCTTTGCACAGGCAAATGCACATGCTGTTTTACTTTTATAACTGGCTGCTGATCAAAAGAAACTCTTCAAATGGCCCCTTTACTCTGCATGTAATCACCGGCTCCTTACAAAAAGATCACGTACAATCATGCCACTTGTTGAGGCGTTAATCGTTTTTATGCAGTGTATTTTTTTTTAATGCTCATGTGCTACTTGTGGCTTACAGCACCTTAGATTCATGGGAATAAAAAAACCTTTAGACATTACATATACCTGAAGCCACTTCAGCACCAGTGATGTAAGGCAGCAGGTAAGTTGGTTCATGCTGTGTACAGTGAATCAAGTCCTGTATTGCTGATTGCATTCCAGCTACTGATGACGCACACATTGTGCTTTCAGCCGGTAGGATTTCATGACGCAAACATCTTAAATTTTAAAATGAATGTCATTTGCGTCATTCAGTGCCTTTAAAAAGTATTCGCAACATTTACATTTATATGTTTTACTGCCTCACAGGATTGAGTCAAAGCTGATTTGTAGCCTTTTTAACAGAAGAAAAGTCCTTTTTGTAAGTAAAAAAAGAGAGAGAGAAAGAGAGATGTGTTTTTGAGGAAAGCTTTTAGTTGGCAGAATTACAGCTGTGTAATTCTCTTTCCATTTCTTAGAGGCTGATGTTCCTGTACTCCAAAGCATGTTCAGTGACAGGAAAATTGTATCTTTTCCCTGACATGTGCTCATCAATCACATTTTCCCAAGTTTTTTTCTGGGATGTCCCTGTGTTTTTATTGTATGGTTTATGCTACAATACTGATCGAAGAAGGTGAAATCTTTTAAATAGAACCTAGTTTTATCTTTTTAACTATGTGCCCTTTAAAACCTTTGCACTATGTCTCTTCCCTTTGTTTGTGTATATTTGGGATAAAAGTCAAATATGTATACAGTGTTCCCCTGTATGTATAGCACTGTGCAAAAGTGCAAGGAGTAAAGAGTAAAAAATTTTAAGTTTTAACAATTTAATTGATTGTATTTAAAAGAAAAGTTGAATGGAATTTCTATCCTTTGTCTCATAAACATTTTTGATCTCGCAATCTCTTATTTTATGATCAGAACACCTTAACAGAGGTAAGACGAGAGAAAAAGAGAAAATGGGCTCAAGATTTACTCGTACAGAGGAAGATATCAGATTTCTTTAGGCTACACTGTCAGTGTTATTGACCATGCTGGCCAGTTTCTATTGGTGCTTCTTTTTTGTCAATCTGGGGAAATCAGAGCGCAGTGGAGTGGGATGAGAAGGGCTACACACATCCACTGAGCTCTTGTGGTGTTGTGTGTGTTTGTGCTGGGTGCAAGAGCATAAATGAATGAATGTCTTTGCAGTAAATAGCCTGTGGATATGGCTATGTAGAGTGGGTGCGTGTATGATGTGTGGGTTGTTTTCCGTGTTGATGCTTTTAGCTAAAAACCTTCTGACATAAAGGCTAAGAGCCACTGATACCTCACCCTCTTCTTTGTCATAATCATAACTACGAAACACAAGCTCAGATCGGTGTATTCTACCTAAAGTACACTAGGTCACAAAATAAAAGTATTTCAGGTTGGAAAGCGTGTTGTTTTTCTTGTTTTTTTTCCCCAATAACTCCTTTCATGTTTGTGCTCACTGCAAGAATCCTTTTGTCTGTGTATCTGCTTTTGTATCTTGTACCACTGCTGTAACACTTCTTTTGTATATGCTCTGGCTGTCATCTTTAACACTGCTATTTTTTCCCCCCATACTGTATATTGCAGTAAAATGGAACTTCAGAGGTATTTTATATTAAATGCCAAAGTTAAAACACGCTTCCCGATGTTCAAAGTGTATGCACATGTGTGTGAATTCACGTTTAAGTAAAGGAGAAACTATCTGTGTGTGTGTGTGTGTGTGTGTGTGTGTGTGTGTGTGTGTGT